CTACTAAGTTGTTAGTATCCTTTTTGTCGTTTTAAAATTGATGGTAGTTTCGTTGTTTTGTCCAAATTTGAAGTCATTTTGGCCATGCATTAGAATAATGCGTGTTCTTTTCCTTTTTTTTTGGGTAATTCCGTGGGGAAGACAACCTGACTCGTTTTTGCAAGTAGATTTAAAGTTAGTTTTTTTTTAAAGTATTCGTGGGGTAGTGTTAGTGGTAGAAATGAAAACCATAATGTGGTGACTATGGCGTGGGATGCTACCACCACAACTCCAGCCCCTTTCCCAAGTAATACATGTTGGGGCTCAAAGAGTTAGAAACTCATGGCACCTTTTAACCATGGATTAAAATGAACATTTTATAAATCAATGATACTTTGGATATCGTTAAGTAGTTATGCTTAGTTATTCGCAAGTATTTAAACTTGGATGGGCTTTTGGTTTGTTAGCCGACACACCAGTCTAAGTGCACTTTCCTTCCGAAAGACTACCTTAGAGATGGATTTTAGATCTACAGCTTCATATGGCGAGCGATGATCTCAACCACCACAATCATGAAAAAAAATTAAAGATTTTAAACCTAAGAAATAGGTTCTTTTAAACTTATCCTTTGGACCATTCTTTCTTATTCTTTTTAAATAATATACTTTTAAGGTTTAAATATTATGTTTTTCTCAATTTTTTCTTTTTCTTGAATATCGATCGTGATGATCGAGATTATCAACATTGTCCAATTCTAGATCCAAAATTCATCTTAGTTGGATTTTTGAATGATAAGAGCAATTAAAATTTTCCTTTTGAACTTGGTTTTAATTGGTTAGCAAAGATGTGTATGGGGGGAGGACTCTTCTCTAACCATGGTGGGCCACGCTCTCCCCCAGCCTGTCGGACCCATGCCCCTCCCATTACCTTGTGTAATGGCTCGTACCTAGACCTGACCCACTTAAGGCCCCATGATGTCAACAATGAAAAACAAAATGAGACCCCATACAGTGTACTCCGGCGGGAACAAATACTGCGCTTTCTTTCCCTGGCAATAGAGCTACTTAAGGAGATATTTTTTGACCTGAAAATTCGGAGTTTGCTTTAGAATCACCTATTTTCTTAAAAGGAATTTTGGATTTCTAGTTCTTAAAAACTTATACCCGATTTCCAAAATTTAGATGCTGAGTGTGTTCAATCTTAGGATTGTTTTTCTTTGGAAGGCACAACGAGAGCGTGCATGAATGCATTATTTATTCGTTGGTGGCTAGTTGCATTATTTATTCGTTGGTGGCTAGTTTGAGGAGATTATGTCCCAAAATTTAGGGTTTGTTTGGATGACAATTAATTTTATTTGGAATATATTATCTTATTCGAGATTAAAATACTCAAAATAACGATATGTTGTTAGCTATTTAGTACATATCTTGAATAATGTATAAATTTAAATATTTATCTTTTTTTCAATGATTTTCAGCTATTTGTAGATATTTATCGTGAAAACATGTGACTATTAGCAAATTACTTTAAATAAAATAAAAATCATTTTCTTTTAAAAAAAAAAATTTATATGTAAAGCAACGTATACGTTTATCTCATATAACTTCAAGATGGGGAGTGCCAAACAAACATAATTCATTATCATAGTTAACATTATTAAATAGTGAGTACACCCAAACATGGCCTTAAAATATTTGAAATATATATAAAACCAGCTACCAGATAGAATGAGATCTAGGCATAGATGGTCAAGGTGGCCGGCAAACGTGACGACTAAAAAGCTCCATTCAAATTTCTTGTTCCAAAGATAATTGAAATTCATTAATTTTAAGCAAAATTGATGCACCAAGAGCTTGATGTACAAAATAGCCCAAGACTAAACACTCTAAGAAAGAAATCAAAGGTGAAGCAAGATTACGGCCAAGGCCAAATGATCCGCATGAGAGTTCCTTTCTTTGTTGACTGCCGGATAAACCAAAAAGAAAAGAAGGTATAAAAAAAATAGAAAAATTCCAAAGTAGGGTTTTTTTTTTTACCCGATGGAGTGACTGGACGAAATGCTCCTGCGGGAGCACACAATCTTTTTACATAAACCCATTTACTTTTTGGCAGTTGACTAGGACGTAACATGGGCTGGGTCCGACGGCACATGAATATCCCTTCCCACCACACAGGAAAAAGGACATGGTTCAAGCGTCAATAGTAATATTCATAGGATGAGAATCAAATTGCCTTTTGTATTTCTATGGCCAATAATTATTGGGAAAAGATTATACAAAGCCGAGGCTGGAAGCAATCAAATTGGAGCTTACCTAAGAAATTTCACTAAATGAAGTTGTTTTGATGCCCAAATACTCTCAAATTAATCATCTTGACATCAAGATGCATGAACATGAGAAAAAAAATAGATTTTAAAATTTGAAAATCGTGTATTTTGCGTTGCATTTTTGGACCGTCAATTTTCAAGTTTTCATATATTTGTCGATCTACATTATTTTTTAAGCTTTAAATTCTATAATTAAAGATGAAAATATGTTTTAAGGCTATCACAAAATTTCCAATTTTGAAACCACATTTCTCTACACTACTTGAAGGGGCGCGCTTTCTTTTGATTGTTTAGAGCCTCAGCTCTATGCAAACTGCACTATGTACTTGGAGCAAAAGAGATAGGTAGTGGGGTAAGGAAAAAAAATGAAGAACAAAGAGATGGGGACCCCCTGCAAATGGAATCCAACTTTTAAAGTGCTTGATTTTTCGTTTTCAGTATATGGGTACTGTTGTCCAACTCATTTGGCACCATTCTGATTCCACTGATTTTGAAATTTTGTGAGGAGTGCACTTTCAATTATTTGAACCTTTCACCTACCCTTCCAACTTAGAATAACAATCTTTATGAGACGAAACAAAGAGAGGGAATCGAAAGTTCTCTTATGTCTCTATCATTCTTTTTTATAAGATCTTTGTGCAATTTGTGCGTATGTCCTGTTATCGAAAACATTGTCAAATCTTCCATATACATCTATACCCTTTTTCTCAATTCTTCAAATATAATGATTTGATCCCTACTTCTACTTTTGAGAATCAGAAGTTTAACATTTATGCGTCCAACTAGTGAGGCTTGTAAGGAGGTGTAAAAATATTTTGGAATTTAAAAATCCGAAATATTTGAGTTGAATATATACTTCAAAATTTGGAAGTCCAAAGTATTGTAATTAAGCAAGAACTTCGGAATTCTTTTAAGTTTGACAAAAACAAAAAAACGTTTGACATTTCGAGTTCCGAAGTATTTGCTCAAGTAAAATACTATAAAATTTTCAATTTTTGAAGTATTCCTAAGCCTCTTTACAGGCCTCACTGGTTGGGTGTATATAAATGTTGAACTTTGAATTCTCAATATTTGAAGTAAGGACAATGCAATCATCTTTAGAAATTGCAAAAAAATTAGGTATGAGCGTAATTACGTATGAATTTTGGGGAGTTTTAAATGACACAAATTTTAGGAGGATATGCACATAAATTACTCCTAATCTTTTAATCAATATTCATTAGAGACTTTTTTTTATTCAAATAATGGGATTTTCAGCCATGTTTTTTTTGGAGGGTTCATCTCTCCTAAATTCGTCAATTCAACTCGTAGTTATCAAGACGGACTAGACCAGACCAGCCGGTCCAATTTGTTGCGGTCAAAAGGGTTTTTCGGATGAAACTCATTAAAAAACCAACAATTGACAAGTTTTTGACAGTAAAACAAGCCGGTTTAGACCAATTAGACCAAGCCAATAAAATTGAAAAAAATTTTATTATATATCTTTCATATTTTAAATTATTGTTTTAATTTTCTTGTTTTTTTAAAAAGATCTTGTCTAAATGGTGTGACCATCAGTTTAGGCCACTCACTAGTTTGACTGTTGGTCAGATTTTAATACTATTGATTTATTTGATTTTAAATGGATTTGTCTACAAAAAGATCATTTATCTTTTCTACATGAAGGTCACATTCATTTCCACTCATTAGATGTCAAATTGGATAGCTTGGGGTGAGTCACAAAATTCGAGAATTGTTTTTTTTAAAACTATATTTCTATTCATGTCAAGTTGAGAGACAAAACATTCTTACAAATAAAAATGATTGTGATCTTCATGTACAAAAAATAAATAGACTTTTCGTAGACAATCTCATGTTAAATACATGGTTATTGGTAGTTCCCTTTTGTTTTGTTAGACAAAGAAGCTTTTTATTTGCAACCTATGAAGTTATGCCACATAATGCTTCCGATGTGAGAAACTTGTCTCAGAAAATCGTACCTTATCTGTTTAATTTCTGTATGCATTTTGAATAGTTTTTTTTTTTAGAAAAGGATTGGATGGCTTCTATATATATATATATATATATATTATAACTTTTTATTATGTCTCTTCTAGGAGGAGATCTTTTTATTTTGGATGAGCTTTCTATAAGGTCTAAACTTCATGTAAACAACATCAAGCCTCACCCCAAATCCTCATCTGGAACGTACTTTCGGCAATGGAATGGAAGTTTCTATAATTGCTCTAAGTTCAATTTCCAACACCTACAATAAAATGTGCTGTTAAAAAAATGGTACAAATCTTGTGAATCTGTGAACACTTATTTTTAAAGCAAAATTGATAGTGTAAAAAATTTGTTACAATATACATTTTTCTTAGAGCTTTAAATCCTAATTTTTTTCACAACCATAATGTTCAAGTCGATCTGATCGAATGTAAAGGTTTTCCAATGCTTGACTTGCAATTTTCAATGAGGTATGAGTAGAGGGTTTACTTAATTTGATAGGGATTCAGCCCTATCAAGTCATTTTCTTTTTATTTTTATAACCAGATAGTTTTTGATAATTTTTGGGAATGAAACTCAAGATATCACGTTGCGGCGTCCACCCAGACAACCTAACGTCGAGTCCATTCCCTGTACAATTTTCCTTTGGCTTGGCAGCTGAAAATGTAATCTCTTGTAAATTCCATAGCATACTGTAAATGAGGGCACATGCAAAAAGACTATCTCAAGCATTATATGAGAAAACCATAATTTACAACACAATCAACCTTGTGGCGGATCATTTTTACAATTGCAATTTCCCTTGAAAATAAAATAGAAACCAAGGCCTAATTGGAGACCATTTGTGCCCCAATATCCTTGAATACAATATGACAAACTCACTATAGTGCTCCTTAATGGTTGGGAGCAAAAATAAACATATTGTTATTGGGCAAACCACTAGCTTTGGCTAGTGTGCTAGGTCAAATTTGACCTATTATCCTTAAACTTTCATCAACTGTAGGGAAACGGAATGTGTCAATTCTCCAACTTGGAAGAGGTGAGACCCAATTGGCAGCTTTTTCAAGCCAAATTGATCCACAATACTGAGATCCCTGCACACATCAATATCAAACCTAGCTTGTTGTTGAGAGTTTGATGGGAGATGGATTCTCCTAAACCCCACCAATTGCTTGCTTGGTGCTCCATGGCCTTGAGGAGGTGTGGAGTATACAAACACCACATGGGAGCCATCCATGGGGCCAATGTTATTGACATCAATATGGAGGCTCATGAACAAGCCACTGCATCTAGTGTGAGACACCCTAACCGCTTGGCACGACACGGTGTCGTTGCGGAAGCACCCGTGTTTCCCGTCGAGGGGAACCGAGACCATGGATGGTGCTTGGGCTATTGACTCTGTGAACTTGGTATAGCTCGATCCATGGCCGAATGGGTACACAGTGTTGCCCGTGTAGAATCGGTAGGTCCTTCCAGGGTAGCCCTTCGAGGGATCGGGGCGCATGTTCATGGATGTCATTGGTAACTTGGTGACATATTCTTGTGGGTACCATGTCATTGGTAGCTTCCCCCCTGTAGAATTGGATGCTGAGTTAGAAAGACAAGAATTTAAAGTTAACATAGACTCTCTCTCGCTCTCTCAGTAGAAATTGGATGGTCAAGTTAGAGAGATACAATTCTAAGTTCCATTAAGTTTTGTGTGTAACATTCTTCACTCTCATAGAATTTAGACATATACAACTCCAAATACATCAAGATTTTTAGTGTGCGACTCTTTCTCTCTGTCTCAAGGAGTAAATAATTTGTTTAGATACAAAAGCATGCACACTAGGAATCGGGGCTGGGCTTGAGTGGTTGGCAGTTGACGTCAAACAATTTTACATCTCGAGTTTGATTCCTACCACTGAACTACCAAAATAAAAAAAACGCAAAAACAAGTGAGCACACATTTTACCTGGATTATATTGACCAAATACAATATCTGCAATAGCTTGCCCCCCAGCTTGGCCAGGGTACCCTGCCCAAATGATGCCTGGGACCCTATTGTTGTCCTTAGCAAAGGACACATCAATTGGACCCCCACTCATCAAGACCAGGACCACTGGTCCCCTTGATGCCATGGAGACACTTTGTATCAGCTCTTGCTGGTGTCCTGGCAAGAGAAGGTCCTCTCTATCCCTCAACTCTGCCTCTATGCTTTGATCCAATCCCATGACCATAATGGTTGCATCCGAATTCTGTGCGGCTTCAATGGCAGGCCTAAATAGATCGGTAGTAGGGCATGCAACGCCTCGGCAACCAGGTTGGTAGATGGCCTTGGCATATCTCCTTATACCTTGAACAGGGCTTGTGTACCCACATGGAACTCCTGCATAAAATTTGAGTTGCGATGGTTAATTTAACTTTAAAAATTTATCAAAAGCACAACTAACTTATTGATTATCTAATAGTTTACCCATTTTCAAATTGTAAATTGAAAATTGAACATTCATACAAAAAAAAGAGAATACATTTTTTTTAAACGGAGATGAATGAATTCTAATAATTCCCCCAACAAATCTGATAGACTAAAAAGGAATCACAATCCTATGCACCATCACCATCTATTCAAATAAACACATGATATCAGAGAGAGAACATGGGAGAGACCCCCTATTGAGGCCTTTCTTCCTGCATGTCCTTAACATCTATCCATCATCATCCATAATTTGAACAGACAATGATGACTTTAAAGACGACGAACCTATTCCATTCTCTCAAGGATTAGAGTGTACATTCCCATCTATGATCTTATTCAACTAAATCTATTAATATTGTACAGGGCAAGATTTTAATGCATAATCTCACCTGCGTAGTTACCGATCATGGTGAATGTTGCATCAGCATTAGGTCCTATAACAGCCACTGTGCGAACCCGCGCTGGCAATAGGGGAAGCGCTGCCCGATGATTCTTTAAGAGTACGATTCCTTGTCGAGCAGCCTCTAAGGCAAGCTGTTGGTGTGGAGGGGTGCAGACATCCTTGTGCCCAAGCTGCCCGAAAGGCTGAGCGGCCGGGTTCCCATCGAACATTCCAAGCCTCATTTGAACGGTGAAAGTGTTTGTTAGGGCTTGGTCTATATCTCTCTCACTCACTTTCCCTTTTCTCATGGCCTCCCCTGTGTGTTCAGCCAAGAAAGGTCCACAGTCTAAATCCAAACCTGAAAATTTTCACATGTAATTTCATTTCATGTTAGTATAGCACTAGGTTTTTGATGGTTTGAAAGTTTAGGCCCAAATTTGGCCAATGAATGTTTGAAGAGCAGTTCATATTTAGAAGTGAAACTATAGTTTGGGTGGGGAATTTTTAATGTAGGAACACTGGGGAGACAAAAGGGACCTTGAGCCATTTTTCACAGAGAAATACATTTGGTTATATTATTCTAGGAACACAAAAATGGTATTTTTGAAGCTTTTCCATTTCTAATTTCTAAAGTTTCATTTGTTGACAAAGGTGGAACTACAAGGAAGTGGAAAAAAGAGGAGTGACACCTACCAGACTTAATGGCAATGGCAGCTGCATCTTCAGGTGTAGCAGTATAGTGCTGCGAGTCGTAGAATACACCCACCGAGTCACAATCGGATACAATGTACCTGCACAACCAGTCACATAATTTAATATAAATAAACCAATTATGCATCCAAATACACCTAACGCTATATCTCTTTTAGAAAGTTGTGACAGGTTTTAAAACCCGGAATTATGTTTGGGATCGCCAACCTATACCATTCTGGATCGGCTACCCACTAAATCTAATCTAGATGGGTGATTGGCAAACTGGATTGCTGGTTTTTATAGCACTATTGCAAACTAATGCACTTCAAAGGGTCCTACCTACATTTGAACTATTTTTGAGAAAAGGTAGATAAAACTTTACCCACACTGAAACTATTTTTGAGAAAAGGTAGATGCAACTTTAGCCAATCTGCTAAACTAATGGAAACGGTACTGCGTTCTATTGAAAAGGAAAATTTGCCCACCTTTGAAAGGGTCTGCAACCGCTATACCCCTGTAGATTTGGTAACCAAAGAACCCTTTACCTTCATCACAAAGTTGGACACCACCAACATTTGTGGGCATCTTTCTTTTTTTTCGAAAGTCAGTGGAACAAAAAGCCTGTACCAGTTTTTCATTAAATAAACATGGCGAAAATCCAGATGATATTTTAACAACCTTACTATAAGCAATTATGCCAAATCATGAAGTAAAGACAAAGAAAAAATGAAACACAAGACCTCTTGTAAAAAGGTAAGGTACAATGATGTGAAACACCCTAACAAACAATGGTATCACCATTGCTAATCGAATAGGCAGCTTCCCTATTTGAAATCAAGCCACAAAAGCCTTTCTTCCCCCCTCTTTGCAATTTATGGGCTAAAGGAACGTACGTTCAAAACGATACATGCTATTTTGGGCAGAAGAGTATTTTAAGGACCCCAAATGCTTGGGATGTAAACCTCCTCAATCTATTGACTTAACTTCAAAAAGAAAAAAAAAAAAAGTCATAGTAGGCTTTTAACAGGTGGCCAGAAAAGAGACAAAAATACCATAAGAGTCTTAACTATTTAACATTTTACCGATTTGTAAAATTCCAAGTCCTGGTCATGTGTCTTTTGATGCGTATTTAAAATTTAAAAGATATGCATAGAATTTTGAATAATTCATCTCTGTATTTTGAAGATACAAAAGAAATGAACTAGAAATATTACCCATTGAGGCCCCAATCTCCCCGGATAGTCTTGGTTAAGAGGTTAGGATCGGCACAGGTGGGAATGCCATTGACCTGGTTATAAGAACACATCACACTAGCAGCTCTCCCTTCAACCACGCATGTCTCAAAGGGTGGCTGATATGTGTCCTCCAAGTCTTGCTTGCTCACCTGCAACACACGTGTGTACGAGTAGCAAGGTTATTTTCAAGTGCAAAGGCCCCAAATTTGTAATTAAATCTATGATTGCGGTACTTGTTAATTCATCAAAAAAACATGTGAAAGATTTCTTGGCTATTTATTTTTTTTCAAGAAAAAATTGGCAGATTGCGCACCCACAGATCAGTGGGTAGGCAGGCAATCCACCCCATCGATCTGACTTAAAAACATTGGTAAGGAGCTGATCACATTAATCTGAGCTTATAATCTCAATTGACTTCTATTCATGAATTAATCCAAGATTGAAGGCAGTTACCATTCAAAGAAAAAATATCAGATTGAAAGCTCCAAACTGGAGTAAACCAATAAATAATGGGAAAAGTTTATCAAGAGCTGAGGCTCTAAACAATCAAATTTGAGCCTATCTCAAAATTTTCACTAGAAGAGGTTGTTTTGATGTTCAAATATCTTCAAATTGATAATCTCGACATCAAGAAGCACAAACATGAGAAAATAGTATATCTTGTAACACATTTTTGGACCGTCAATTTTTAAGATTTTCATAAATATGTCGATCTACACTATTTTTAACGTTTTAAACTTTATAAATAAATATAAAAAGATATTTTGAGGCTATCACAAAGATTTTCAATATTGAAATCACATTTTTCGATACTATTTGAAAGGTAGATTCTAATTTGATTGTTTAGAGCCTAGGCTCTACACAAACCGAACCCACAAATAATATTCGTATTACTGAATCATGTTGAATTTATTATCAAGGACTCGTGGAAACATTTTCGTTTGAGCTCCGACAACCGTACCATACTTGAAACAAGAATTAACGCATTCAAAAGCGTGACAAAGAAGAAAGTTGGTTTCCAAAAAAAAAAGCTTGCTGCTAGGGTGGTCGTGCGCGATCACCTAGCATATGGCCTTGCACCCAGAACACAGTGCCAGTGTTTTGAAAAATTGACCCAAGCTCTAACTTCCTAAAGGCCCAGAATTTCTCACACAACTATTTGGGCGGGTGATAAATTCTATAAAAGAAAATTTAAAAGGATATGAACCAAAGCACTCGCTTCAAAGGGCGTCGCAAGAGTAAAAAACCAGCAAGCATAAGCTCGAAAGCCAACAACGGCTACCGCGAAATTTGGAGAGACTTGGGTGATTGTCGGGTTTTTTAACCCAAAATCTTAGCAATTCAATTGAGTCCCCAGTTAGTGATTTTTCAAAACTTACGGTGACATTTCGATATGAAAAAAGTTATATAATCTTTTGATTCAGAAGTAGATTTTTAAAGAAAATATCATTTTGAGCCTTGAGAACCCTATCTCTCTGCTCTTCTTCGGATGGATAAGAGTCAACTAAGTTTAAGCACTCTGGAGCTCCAAATTATTCTTTTTCTGTCAATTTGATGCTACAACGAGTAAACACCAAAGATAGATGTGAAAGTTTTCACATCAAAAAATCACCCGTGAGTCCAAAGTTGAAAGTTGAAACTATTGTCGGGGGGGGCGGCGGTCGGCGGAACATGTGTTGACGCCTTGACGGTATAGTCGATCGAGACCACCAATCTTTTCTCAAAAATTAAAATATATTTTTTTGGTATAACATCTCAGAGTGTGAGCCAGTAAAGCTCCTTCATTTTCTCGCCAAATGTCGTCCCCCATTTAGGGATTTTAAAATGATAAGTTCCAAAAATTGACGAAAACACCCTCATACCTTTAAAATAAATTCGAGAAATTTAACAAAATAAGCACAAAATATAAATTATTTGGCAAAAGTTTGTATAGAACATGGACATAAGAAAAATATCACTGGAAGAGATTGTTTCATTCACCAAATATCTTTAAATTGATCTTCTCGACATCAATATGTATGGGCATAAAAAAAAACGGATTTCAAGTTTTGAAAATAGTACCTTGTAACATTTTTGGACCGTCAATATTCAAGATTGTCAAGCTTTCATAAATCTGTTGGACCTACATTATTTTTAAAGCTTTAAATTTTATAATTAAAGACAAAAAATATATTTTAAGGCTATCACAAAGACTTTGAGTATTGAAACCACATTTCTCGTTACTATTTGAATGTGTGCTTTACTTTTGATTATTTAGAGCCCTGGCTCTATACAAACTGCACCGTTTAACAAAATAGTCACAAGATATATATTATTTTAACACATTAAAAAGTATACAATGAGACCATTTATCTTTGGTACCAGAAGATCACAATTAATTTTTTATCATTGGATATAAAATTGGGTGGCTAAATTTATTTTATCGATAAATTCAATGTTAAAAAAAAAAAAGATTTTCTCGAACTTTGTGACGCACCAAAACGATCAAATTTCACATTGGATGCTTATAAGAAATTGTGATTGCCTTGTATAAAAGCTAGACAGTCTCATTGTATACAATTCAACTTTAACATTTAATTCATATTATGATTTTTTAGATTTTAAACACCAAAAAAGAACAGTGATCAATGGGAATAATTGTCAAAGGATAAAAATTAAATAATGCTAAATAATTTTACACCAGTGTAAAAAAAAATCAAGCGGTTGAAATTCTAACTACCTAGTTAGATCAAAACCAGCTGGGTAATATCAAATATTTCAAAAAAAATCATATAAAATCCCAAAAAATAAAGGATTTTATTTGTAATGTATTTTTTAATGTTTTTTTTATCATTTTGACAAAGATTGGAAATTCTTTCAAACATTAACACTTATTTTTACATTTTTTCATCTTTTAAAAAAATCAAAAATAGATATTGCACTTAACTTTTATAGACATCCATGTCAAATTTAATGATGATATTTTAGGGTCCTATACACATAGGTGTGGAAGGGTCCTATAGGATCATTACTCATATATATAAGGGTCCTATAGGATCATTACTCATATATAT